AGACCAGAATTTTTTATTTTTTATTCCAAGTTATCATTTCCTGCGATTACAGTGCTCCTTGATATTATAATTCCTTGAGGATTATTCTATTGTTATTCATAGACTTAAAAGTCACAGAATGACTCTCATAAGACTGTTATAGAAGAACTAATCGAAGGATTGCTATATAAGAATTAACCTAAAAAAAACTATCTGATGTCGCCGCAAGGCATCTATTTTTATTTATTTTGGTTTATCGCAGAAAGAAAAGAATAAGTATAAATGATTAATCACTGAATTTTACTCTTTATGAATAAGGATCACTTTGAAGAAAAAATATTATTGACTCATTGTCAGTGTTAGCACTGAGTCAATATCGATAGATAGAAGAATGGTCATCCATTGTATCATATTTTTTCTGTTTCATGCAAGAAGCATATTCTGCACGAAACAGTAAAAAATGCAAGAAAATTCGCATAATAATTCCAAACTGTTCAACTACTTATGCACGTTTCTTTTTTTTTTTCTTTTTTTTTTTTTTTTTTTTTTTTCTAAAGATCGGAGGGGCTCGTGCGAATTGCACCTTGCCACCAAGCAACGTCGGTACGTCACTTCACGTGCCACGTGGTCAACAAAAAGAGGAACCGAGCAAGAGGAACGAGACAGAATAGAAGAACAAGAGAGAAAGATCTGGGAACGACCGACAAAGAAAACAGCGAGGAGGTTCAGCCTATGATTTTTGAACGCCACACCTTGCGTACTGGTGTCGGTGAGTGGCCCTGTTGTCCATCAGGCTTCTCCGGAAAGCTGCTGGCAGATGGTCGGCAGATGTCTACCATCTTGTCTTGATTGTAGGTCTAGACCAAGTCGTCCGTGAAAGGTGGCCATTTATTTGGCAACGCGGTGGTTTGGTAGCAACTCTCTGTCCGACACAGAGAGCCGGACGAAACGTGATCTGATTAATGATTGAGGATTAAAGCGTGCATCAAGCTGCTAACCACGATTGTTAATAATTGTCTAGCAATCAAGAATCATTGAACGTGATTTTTCGCATTTAATCAAGTCCAATGAATCAATAAATCAATGATATTACCAATATTCATCAATATTGATGTAAATGAATCGACAATGAATCAGTGACAATTATTAGTTATCATTGATAAATAATAATAAACGAGTCAATGATAATCAACGATAATATTGCATCAATGAATCAATACTGAATCAATGATAACATTAAGTCAGCGACGGTTGTTAATGATCATTGATTACGAATTTTTACTTTTAATGACTAACAATGATAATGAAACAATGGATCAATGATGATCAATAATAATATTAAATCAATATTGGCATCAATGATTGAGGATTAAAGCGAGCATCAAGCTGCTAGTCACGATTGTTAATAATTGTTTAGTAATCAAGAATGATTGAACGTAATTTTTCGTATTTAATCAAGTCCAATGAATCAATAAATCAATGATATTACCAATATGCATCAATATTGATGTAAATGAATCAACAATGAATCAGTGACAATTATTAGTTATCACTGATAAATAATAATAAACGAGTCAATGATAAACAACGATAATATTGCATTAATATTAATGGATCAATAATGAATTAATGATAAATTAAGTCAGCGATGGTTGCTAATGATCATTGCTTACGAATTTTTACTTTTAATGACTAACAATGATAATGAAACAATGGATCAA